TTTTAAGTGCCAGTAACAACAGAAACAGTCAGGCTCCCTCCACAGCTACCTCCAGAGGAGCTGAACCAGCATTAGCAGCAGCGGGAAATGTTTGCAGTAGTATTCGAGTGTGGAGAAACCCCAGCATTCCAGCAAGCTGCTGCCAGTTCCCATTTTGGTGAGTTTGACCTAGAGCATTTAGCATTGCAACATCAGTTCTGCATCTCATAATGCCGCTTACGTAATGAGCTCTCATTTGGTTCCTATTAAAATCACAGTCTTTCTTCTGCAAATCACCGCTTGTAAAAATCAAGCCACCCAGCTTTTCATTAGATTTTAATATGGGAAATAAATAGTCCTAAATAGTAGGATGCACGCCATAATCATTAGACAGAGAATAGGTGTCAATTTTTCCCCTCTTGGATATACAAACTTCAGATCTCAAAGTAGGAATGAGGAAGATCTGTTAAGGGTTACTGAATCCATCTCCTGCAAAACCACGGTGTAGTTACATCCCTATGATTATTGCTCAAACAATATACTGATAAAAAAGAGAGCCTACAGCTCTTCGTAGTCACAGCAGCAAGAATTCTCCTAAAGGCTGCAGAAATGGTGTGTCGCTCTTTACGGATTGTCCCAGAGCCATTACCTGTCTGAGGCAGTGCAGAGCAGTTCCTTGTATTATATATACCAGGACTTTGAAGAATTCCGTTTCAAATATCTCAAACAATGGGGGTTTCACCGCTTCCTGTGGGAGCCAGTTTTGCAGCCTAACTCACTCCACCATCTGGAGTGTTTTCCTGACTGTCTGCCTGCTTGTAATTTTCTTTAGTTTAGTTCAGTTTAGTTTCTTTCTCTGTAAAGGTGACTCGCTAAACTTTTCTGTTGTGTGAAATTCATGTTCCATGGTGCTTTTTTTCTTTTTTATGATAATCAAGAAAAACCTGAAAGCTTGATGGTTTCTTGTCTTTGCTCTTCCTTCCTCAGAAATAAGAGTAAGTTATAAATAAATTATGGCTTTTCTCTTCACTCATCCCAGAGGCTTACCAGGACTGCCAGTATGACTGCTCTCTTTTTATAGATGGGAGAACTAAGCACAGAGCAGGAAACATCATTCAGCGAGCCGGTGGCAAGACCTGGGTTTTTAGCCAGGTCTCTACAATCATAGTGCCCTACTTTTTTTGATATATATATATTTTTTTTTTCGGTCCAATCCAATTCCTCTGGTGTTGTTGGAGTACCTAAAACAAGCTTTCTGAGAACTTTATTCAGAACTGGAACTGAAAACTCATCCTGCTGAATATTTAACAGTTACTATCTTTCTGATGTGTTTGTTAAGCATCCTAATTAAGTACTGATACATAAAACCAACAAAGCACTTTAACAGACTGATTCAGTCCCTAGGGCCTCCGAGCTGAGTTTTCTCCAGCTAGCCTATGTTTTCCTGTTTGCAGATTGTCCAAACTGAACGCAGTGTATAACAAGCATGCTGTTATCAGTGCGCTGCAGAGAGATTTCCTTCCTCCTCAGTGCCACCATGCTTACTTCACCTGTTGTATTTCCCTTAGCAGCGGTTTTTGGTAAGCCCATTTCTCAGAATCTGGATAGGTACTGAATTATAAATCTTCTCACATGGGACAATAACACCGCAATCAGTTCAGCACAGAGTACTGTGTAGAGACTGATACCCAGGCTGGCACAGCACTGCTCATCTGGGCCTCAGCTGCCCTCAGCAGCATAGCGCCCCATGAGCTGCTTGCAGCCACAGCATTACACCTCCCTGAGGACATGCCCTACGGTCTCTGCCTACCCAGCTTGTCCGTGCCACAAGTGTCTCAGCTAGATGTGCCTGAGCACACGAGACTTGTCTTTTCCCAGCCCCCTCTTGGGGATGACGGTGACAAGCTACTTCAGTGTGGCTGGCAACCTGGTTTCAGAACTGTGCCAAGCTGATCCCACACTGAACTGGTGACACGGATCCTGTGCCCAGTGCAGCACGTTGTATGGCTCAAGAAATGGAAGTTAGAGATGCAGTAGGCAGAGTCATATACTGTCACCCACTTTTGAAGCATGCCAGTAAGTGAGTGAAGCCCTTACCAGAGGAGTCGTTCCCCCACTTCTCCTCCAGGCCACCTTTATTCCGGATATCATTGAGCCAGAGCTGGAGGATTTACCGAAAGCTGCGAGGCTGCTGAAGGTCACGGAGCTCATTGTCTTTGCTTTCAGATTGAGTTTGAGAAATTACCGGTGGTGTCATGCCTGTGCCTCCTGGCCATGTGAATAGAGGAAGCTAATGAGCAACAACAGATTACATAAAGCAGGGAAATCCCCCTCCAACTTCTCCCCTACTATCTCAAACTGAAGTTGATTTGCATGCATACACTACAAATAACTTTGCAATGGCTTCTAGCCCCATGAAAGAGTTACATGTGCTTGCCTACATGCGCTTGCCTATAATCATTTAGGCCAGTTCCACCAGTTGAATCACTCACAGAAAATAAAAAAGGCTGAATGAGAGCCTTTGTAGAAATCTAAGCAGTTTTATGTAGCGTCAGCCTACTTCAGGTAAGGACACAGCTGGGTAATGCTATTCCACGTGAAATAAACAGGAACTGTTCAAAACCTATTAAGAAATAGTGGCTATTCTAGAAAATGTGTACTAAAAAACTACATTAATATTTATAATTCGTGATTATGGATGGACAGACAGGTGGGTGGATGGTGTCTTTCTTTAGCTAAACTTGCAACTAAGCTTCCAACACAAACCCTGCTTGGTGGAAAATGAACTTTACTGAAACCCGGAAAAAAACTGCAGCATTCTATCAATGAAAATGATGGCCAGCTACTTTACAAAACCTGAGATTCATTAGGCCTAGCACTCCTGAGCAATGCTGTTCAAGAAGCAGTGGCATTAAACATACCTTCAAAATTCCTGTGATTTCTTTTAAATGTTGTGGTGCAACAGAAACAAATGAGCAATAAGGGGACAGGATGGTGAAAAAAAATGCATATTTACTGGGTTATCTCTGGCCCAGAAATCTACTTGGTTAATCTGACATTTACAAAAATCTTTTACATTATCTTTATTGCTCTAAGAATGGCAATATTTGTAAGCCTAGCACATCATGTCTGCAGAATGCCTGGATTCTTTTTGAAGAAAGATGGTTTTCTGTTCTTTTGCTGAGGGACTTTGCCAAGTAAAAAAAAAATGTTATTTTTCCCATTAACTGGTTTCTTGTTTTGTTGAGTTTTAGAGCCGAGGGTTTTTCTATTGGTGGTTTGTTGTTTTTGGTTTTTTTTTAATTTATTTTTGATAGATAAGAACATAAAGTTTCCAAACTTTGGAAAGACTATTCTTCTACTCACTTTCTTAGCTTTCTGCTGAAATAGTTCTTCAGATGCATTTGCTGCTAATCCTCTTCCAAAGCTAGACAGAATGCAGACAACTGCACTGGTCATTCTTCTCTACCAATGAATTCACAGAACAGATCTTCTGTACATTTTCTGAGTTTTCAAACAAGCTCTACATTAAAATAAATAAAGCTGGCTAGGGAAATAATTTTTAGTAATGCTATAGGTGTCTTACAGTAGATAGCAAAGTTGTTTTAAACAGTCACATTTGCATTGAGGAATTCATCAAAGATGTATAGGCCAAAGTGCATTATGACTATCATCACTGTCAGTATAGTTATAGCAGTTTGCTGAAGGAGCAACTCTTTTCTAGGGTAGCCAGTTTTCATATAGTTAACAAGGAGGGATAGAGAAGAGAAGGAAAACTGAGATACAGCTTACCTGTACAACCCGTGTAAGTCTTCTGATTCTTCTATGATATCCCCTCTGTTAATATGAATCATGTCATGACCTGTTGCAGAGGAATACCTTGCCTTTCACCCTCCTCCTTTCAGCTTTATTGACTTTATTCAGAGCTTTAATGGAGCACAATAGGGACCAGCCCAGATGGGAGTTGGCTGTTCTGTAGCCCTTGGGAACTGCCCACTCCCCGGGCTACAACAGAACTTGTCACAATGGATCAGCTGTAGAAATCAGAAGAGATGTACATATTTGAGTAGGAGCATGATACCTTGCAGTGCACTTGATAGCAGCAAACAGGAGGACATGGCACGTTTGTGACTGCTTATTCATTTTTACCTTCGATATTTTGGTTTTAATAGCTTCGTGTGTCTCTGGTTTGTGTTCTCTCCTGTCAATTTGTAGGTTGATCAGGGAGGCATCAAAAGATGCTTTTTTTTCTTTTCTTTTCTTTTCTTTTTTTTTTTTTTTTGTCTCCTCTCACTAACAACAGTCTATTTTCAACACTTTAATCACAGTAATATAATATTCTTTGTTTAAACATTAAACTATATCCCACTACAGCATTTACAGCCATTGACATGGGACTAAGACTAAGAGTGGAACAGCTCATACTGGTTAGGAAGAAGGGTTTGCTCTCAGCCTAAGTATTACAAAGGCAGATAGGGTGCAGCCATAATATTTGCTCTGAATCCAGCACAATTTGCTAATAGTTGGAAAATACACTGGTATAAGCTGTGCTCTGTTTAAGAAACATGTTTGAACTGTAAAAAGCAAACTGTGGTAGAGATGTCAGTCCTTTTGCAAATTCAGTACTCTATTTACAGGCAGCAGCTACCAGAAAAGTTTTACTGGGAAGCTAGAGTGACACAAAGGTCCTCAACAGCAATACACTGGCCCTGGGAGAGCTCTACCAAAGAGTCACAATGGGAGCTGGACCATGCGAAGGTTTGGCTCCAAAGCACAAGAGTAGCATCAGAAACTTTGCTGCACAGATTCAGTCTGGATATTGGTAACTAAAAGGACAGCCAGGCAGGCAGCAGAAAGAGGACCTCTACATATAAGTACATCCATCTTCAACCATCCGTGAGATTTACCTTGATTTGTTTTGTGAATTAAACTGGTTTCCAAGTGGCTGGAGGAAACGGTGACTTTGTCATTTCATTCTTACATGTTGTCATTGAGGTGTCTGTCTTTGTTGTGTGTTTCAGATGGAAAGAATCTTTCAAATTTACCCTGGGATGGAATCAATCCTGCCATGCAAACCATACAAGTGAGAAACACTGCCTTGAGAAAAGCTTTACTCAACATCACCGATGAGACTCCTGGAGATACACCCAGTCTATAGAAAGGTCAAATGCAATCTTCGCTGAGAAATGAACAAACAGCCCTGGTTTTTAAAAATCCAGTGAAGCAGATATTAGACATTCTTCTTTTGCCTCTTTGGAGACTAAAATAAGAAACAAGTGCTGTTCTCTCTACATGTGGGCCACATTAAACCTTGGAATTATGAAATTTTTGAATATTGCTCAGGTTTAATTAAATTACATAGTAATAAAACTCTATGAACAACACACATGTCAGTGAAGAAGCACAGGCCTCACAAGCCTTCCTAATTCACCCTGACACCTCAGCAGTCGGGAGCAGGAGGCAGTCAAAAACATATAGCACTGGGTTTCAGCTGCATTATTTACTCACACCGTACTGAGACTGAGAGAATGTATGACTCGCTAAGGGCTGCTGAAGGCAGTAGCTCAGCTGTGACTTACATCAAGTTGTTCCTGATATGCAATCCTCAGATCCCTAAGGGAAAGCTGTGTATGTGCTGAGTTAGTGTTGATGGCTGATGCACAGTCACCATCAGCCCAAGACATGGTTCAGTGCCCTGCAGTCATGGGGAAGGCCTCACTGAGCATCCTCATGGAAAGCAGAGCACCCTGCACAGAAGAGTGGGAGGTTCAGGTAACCCAGCAAGGGGATCAGCACTGGGGTGAACAGGTTGCCATCTGCTGTTTGCTGGGCAGGTTTGGAGTGACCAAGGGTGTTCCCAGCAAACACAAGGCCCCTGTTAAAAACCACTGTGTACCCTTACAGCTGCACTGTGGGAGGCTGAAGAGTTGGCGGGGTGAGGAAGCCAATGTCCCTTTGCTTGCAGGCACCAAGCAGGCTGGTGGGGAGAGGGCTGCTCTGTAACTCTCTGCTCACATGCCTGCTTGGGCAGCTTTGTGCTCTCCTTGAACAAGAAAGTTTCCAGGTTTTCATCATAAGCAAGCTACTCCATTTCAACGTTACTTTTAAAAGCTAATAGGTTTCACTCTGGAGAGGAGCAGTTCTCCAGCTTTACCGATTTTATGCTTTAAAGAATTTTCTTTTAATTTCATTTTAATTTTGTTTTAATCAAAGTTTAGATTTCCTTCTTGACAGTGTTGCACTGCTGTCCAGTCAGTCAAACACTGCTGAACTTGCTTGTCGCCATTTTATCTGGATATCTTGTAAATATTTGGTAGAGCACTCAGACACAGAAGTGGTTTTTGCTCTTACAGTCACATGCCTGGTTCCAGGACCTTTCAGAAGTACAAAAGACCGAAGGCAGGGAAAATTCCACTGAGATGCATTCAGGTCTCCAAGGAGCAACTGGACTCTGTTTAGACTAAAATTTCTTGCTGCTGATTCTCTCCTTTTTTCTTTATTTAAACATGGAAGGATAGAGGAGGGAAGTTGCAGGGTAAGGGTGTTTTTTTTTATTATTATTATAAACACTGAAATACAAGTGCTGTATCACTTGTTTCTCTCATATTACAGGAACATTTGCAGTTAGAGAGGGAGATAAGCTTTTTAATGCTCTCTGCAAAACCTGGGAAATTTCCACCCAAGTTCTAAAAAGTGTTACAGATATTAATGAATTAAAGCTTAATCCCCTTCTTCTCAGTCCTGTGAAGTAAGGACTAAATACAATTTAAAGACACGGATAATGAATCTAAAAAAGTTGTAAGTGCCTTGCCTGAAATCACTCAGGCAGAGTGGCAGGAGGACTCAGGTCTTTGGGTCCCAGCCTTCTATCTTACACCACAGCCAGCATAGTTCCCTGCCTTTTCAAGGCGTGCTGTATTTGCCCTTCTGGGATATAGCGAGTACATGCTGGCATCGTACCTGGACATATCCTTGCTTTTTTCCCCCTGGGACACAGAGACCTCCCACAGAGTCACTCCTGTGAGATTAAGATGTTGAAAAGATCAGAGTGGGATGTAAGCAGGGAAAAGGGAAAACAAGGCGCTGCTCTGCTCTGAGCTCATCCCGCCTCTGCTGTGGCAGAGGAGTTAGTGAGCAGCCTCTAGCTTGTGCTCCCATAATGGGTTTAGGCAGGGCTGTGGTAAAATTTTTACAGTTTACAGTCAGAGGGAGATCTTGACTGACAAGAACATTGGACAAATGAGCCAGTGAGCCACTCTCCTGTATAAATACCTATGAGTTCATTATTCTCCTCATTGTGAGTCACAGTTCTTATTATCAGAATTCCACAGCTATTGCTGCAGCCATTCTCCAGGCCCTCTTCTGAAGAGAGGGATAATCCCAGCCAGTTCCTCTCCGGTGGCATGAGTCAGGTTTTTACCAGGGCGATTAATGGACAGCTGAGAAGAGCAATTCCAACACGGATGAGCCAAAAGCAACGTCCACATGACTCATCAAGTGAAAGAGTAGGAAAAAGGGAGCAAAACCAGTTGAGAGCCGGGCGGTCCCTGCTGCCTTCCCCATGGCTCAACCCTGCAGCCCCTCACAGTGCCTTTGCCCTGTTCGTGCCCTGGCCAGCCCAGCACTGCAGCAGCTCTCCTGCCAAGGACCCAGAGTACTCGCAGATGCCTTGCACAACACTCACTTCATTCCTGCTGAAAGGCAGCCAGGCCCAGACTGAGACATGGCAAGCGCTTTACTGCGCCTGGCAACACTGCCCAGATGCCGAGAACAAATGGGGAAGAAGGGCTGTGTAAAAATGCAGGGGAATTTTCACATAGGCAGGATGTAATTAGCAGAGCTGGAATCTGGCCAGGATGCTGGGGTTAAAGCACTGGCTTGCAGGTAGCACAGTGGGAGCTTTCATAACTCTCACACTCAGGATCTCCCATTTCCATCTTACCTAGAGGATGTCAGAGGACTGCTCCCCATTTAATGTTCCAGACAGCTTTCTGAGCTCTGACACAAAGGGAAAAGTATCAGAGAGTGCTGCAGCTGCAGTGTGCCATGGTGACAGCTGGCAGGACCGCACCCTGATGGGCTGCAGCACCATCTCAGCAAAGCCTGGCACTCTGCATCCTGCCTGTGGGCTCTTGTGAGCATGCACCTGCCTTGCTCAGCTTTAGGCCCTGAGCTCCCAGCCAATAGATAGAAAAAGGGATGAAAATAGGGCAGCCCCTCATATATTAACTGTGAGAGAGGGAATACTGCTTCAACCCTATTCGCTGCCACAGATCAGAATTGACATCCAGCACTCCTCCCCAGTGAGTACCACTGAGCTTTCCGAATGTGCCTTGCCGGTAATAAACTGCACTTTTTAAGAGTTCATGCCTCCTCTGTCCTTCCAGCTGAGAAATCACATTCAAAGCAGCAAAACATTTTGTTTCCTTTTGTGACCTCACTTTCCATATATGCAATCTTCGTGTTTACTACGAGGATGCTGAATGTCCACGAAAGGTCAAGGAAGTCATGCAAGAGCCTCACGTGTGGAAAGCCCACACAGCATTTTTACCACATTGTGGTGCACAATGTGAAAAACCTTCCAGAAAACCAAAACCCCTGGGAGTGGCAGCCGCGCAGACAGGCAGCAGCCCCAAGTGCTGCCTTCCTTTTCACTGTGAGCCAACAGGGGTGCTTCCCCTGCTCTGGGAAGCACCGCCTGTCTGTCACCTCCCTGCATTGACCTTGGGCTTGCCATGGGTTTACACACAGTCCCCTCTATGTTAGGTGTTAGGCAACTACTGCTCGAGCTGGGTGGGAGCACCTCAGTGAGCAGGACAACGGAGGTGCGGGCTCAATGGAACAGCCCTGCAAGCTGGAGAGGGGAAAGTACAGGCAGCTGCAGGCAACAGGAAACCTAGCGCTCATAAATAATACGTCTTACAGCCAGAAAGAGGAAATAAACAGCACCAGTACAGATGGAGAGGACAGAAGAGAGGAACACAGCGTAGCTGTGGTGCAAAAGTCGCTGCATTACAGTGAGCTCATTTTCACAGACCATCATCCCACTTTGCTGTATGTCCCGAATGCAAACATCAGTGGGGGAGTGGGGACTGGTCAAAGAGAGGGTCTCTATCAGAAGTTGTCAACAGCTGCTATAATTAAGGAAGCAGCCAGAGCACACACAACCTGAGCGGCCGCCAAACTGAAATGAAAGCATTTTTTGTTTGCAGCCATAGCCCTGAAGGATAATAAAGATAGCTGCAGCGTGCCAAGCTGGGAGCTGCAGAGACATCGTCTCTGAGCGGCAAATGCCCCACTCCCGCTATCCAAACTCCCATGCTCTGGGAAAGGATGGCTCCCTACATGCACTGCCAGTGTACGTGTCCACAACCATCTTGGGCAGCTTCTTGCCAGGCTGGAGAGCCCCAGGCACAGCGGAGGTGATGGGTACAGCCTCTGTGAGCTCTGCCTGCTGTCTGACAAGTGCTCATAACTCTAGGATCCCCTCCTCAGAGCTTTCCCCTCAAACGCCACGGATCACCATGGCCTATGGTTTGGCCACCAGCAGCAACAGATGCCGTGCTTGGGACGTAGTGGCTGCTTGTGTTACTGTGACTCCTCACCTGGGCCACCGCAGCATCCCAGGCAGCTGATATGCAGAGCCAGGGGGTGGTGGGACCTCCTCAGCCATGAAACACTGCTCTCAGGCTTTCACCAAGCACAGTAGAAACTCATGTGCAGGTTCAGCAAAGGGAGAATAGTCATTCACAAATTGCATGCATATTTCTTCATTCATTCATTGAGTCGGGCTTCCCTTTCATCCCCCAGCCCCGCACGCATTGCTGGCATACTCCCGCAATCCCATCTAATAACCTGAAGATCTCCACAAGCCGCTGCTTGCCGATGGAGAGCACGGCCCGCTCAGTCATGAGATGTTCCTTGTAAAGGTTTAATGCTCCTTCCTGACATCAGCCCTTTCCCATGAATCCCCTGCAGTATTTCCCTAATCAGGTCTCAGGGAGGCTTTGCACAGTGCAGGGTGCTAAGAGGGTGGCTGTTGAGCTGCAAGATTTCCAGAGTCCCTGAGCTATCCCAAGTCCTTTCCCTAGAGTTTCCAGTGTCAGTGTCTAGATGGCACTGCAGGTGCTTGTTGCCTATACTCACAACCTGGAAGGACAACAGATCTTTCTCATCTCTCATGCCTGGGATGCATAGAGGAGATGTATGCTTTTGCAAAAACTCAAATGGAAGTGATTTTTTTAATTAAATATGGACAAAAAGCAAAAATATTCAAAAGCTGTTTTGGATATACAAGCAACAACAGCCATTTCCTTACTATTGCC